GTTTGACCCTCCAAAAGCTCCCGTCAAGGTTACAAGCTGAGTGAGCTAAATGTGACCTAAATTACCTGCAAGGTCTCTCACGGCTTGGTCTGGAGTGTCATTTTGTTTTGATGCTGAAGGGATCAGTACACCACCACCAGATGTGGCCAATTTTGAGGAACAGGAAACCTTGCTTGTGATGTATAATCCAGGACACCATGCACATTTGCTCTGCTGAGGGCGAGATTGTCCTAATATAGAACAAGGTGCATTATTTTTTTAGAAAGTGCTTTCAGATTGTAGCCCTTTGCCAATAACTGTTCGCAGTCACCAGCATACAGTTTGCCAGCAGAAAATCTGTGAAAGCCTAAAAGTGCCCTGACTAAAGGTCAAGGGTGATGTGAATCTCTCTATCAATTCTATTCAAACCATCTCAGTCAAATTCAAAAATAGCAATTTCTCAACAACAACAAAAAATACAGTAAAAGTCAAAGGGTCTTAGGGTCATTTGTACAACCGGGACAATGAATGTCTGCAAAAAGGTTATGGTAATGCAGTACAGGTAGAATATACAATAAAATATAAAATGGCACACAGATGTCAGCCTTTCCACTGGAGAGCAGTTTAAAGTTCAAAAGTTTATGAGATGACCCCACTTCACTCTAGGTTTTCCATTATACCATACCGTACCAGACCAGCTTTAGTTATAAAGTACTTTAAACAAACTTAGGACCAAAGTGTTGTACAGTTACAGTCAATAAAACCAACAGCAGTCACAATTAGATAATAAAAACATATGAATACAAACCAAAAACAGCATTATATTAAACAAAAACAAATAGATCGATTACATTAAATTAAACTAGTTATTAAACTAGGGCAGCACGGTGGCGCAACTGGTAGAGCTGCTGCCTCTCAGCGAGCAAGTCCTTGGTTCAAACCCCGGTCCAGGGGCCTTTCTGGGTGGAGTTTGCATGTTCTCTCCGTGCATGCGTGGGTTTTCTCCGGGTGCTCCGGTTTCCTCCCACAGACCAAAAACATGCATGTTAGGCTGATTGGTAACTCTAAATTGTCCCTAGGTGTGAGTGAGAGAGTGAATGGTTGTTTGTCTCGTTTGTCTCTATGTGTCCCTGTGATGGACTTGCGACCCGTCCAGGGTGTACCCCGCCCCTCGCACAGTGATTGCTGGACATGGGCACCGGCAACCCCCGTGACCCAAAATGGAATAAACGAGTAAAGATAATGGATGGATGGATAGTTATTAAACTAATATTGGACAAAAAAATCAACATCTCTGTTGGTGTCAAAAGCGAAGGAAAAAAGATTAGTTTTAAGAAGTGATTTAAAAACAGACGGGGTGGGGGGGGGGACACCTGTCACCTGTCTGATGCTCAAAGGCAGGTCTTTGCATATTTTAGGAGCAACAATAGAGAAACACAATTCCTTCAAAGCTTTTGTGTAGGTTTTGGGACGTTCAGGATCAGCTGGTTATTATTGGTTATATTTTTAAACTTTCTTAAAGGTGGGAGTTGTGTAGCAGAGGTTAGAGAAGGTGGGCCTGTGATCGGAAAAATCTCCGCTTTAACTCCCGCTACTGACAACATAAAAAAATTGGGTGGGATAGATGAAGCACCCACACCTGCCTCCACCCTCATTTACCCCACTCTGGGCCCTTGAGCAAGGCCCTTAACTCCCACCATCTGCTCCTCTGGGCACCCTAGAAAGCAGCACGCTGCTCCACACAGAGGGCTGTGGTAGCTCGGTGATCTGTGGTTGCATCAGCAAGGGCATCCGGCATAAAAAATAACTGCCAAATCTTCATGCAAGTTAGTTCGCTGTGGCGACCCCTAACACAGGGAGCAGCCAAAAAAAATAATAATAATAATTTTTCTAAAAGTATTGAACCCAAAGCATCATAATGTCATCATAATAAGATTGTTACATGTTGTTTGAACACTATGAAAAAAAAAATTATATATATATATATATATATATATATATATATATATATATATATATTTTGTAGTAATTAACCTCTAACTAAGCAGGCTGCATGTCTAAAAAGGCGGGAAAATGGCTGCAGGGCTAAAAAGGCGTGAAAATGGCTGCAGGGCTAAAAAGGCGGGAAAATGACTGCAGGGCTATAAAGGCAGGACAATGTGGAAGCGGAAAACAAAACCTACATATTAACATTCAGTACTTAATTACTGAGAAGCTAACAATTTGCTAACAGACTCAGTTATTACACTTACACACAAAAAAATCAACAACTTTTATTTTTCAAAAAAGAAAATTAATTTACATGCGCTCTTCGGCTGCAGCTACTACACTACAATTATTATATATAACATATGTAAGTATTTTGTACTTTTTTTTTTAACTTTATAACGTTTCAAAAACTTTACAGGAGCATATGCCACATATATGTTTGGCCATTAGGTGTCTCAAGGCTGGGCTGCTCATCCATTCTAATATCCCCTATTGGTCTCAGCTGACATCGAACAGTGCTGAACGTAACCAAAACTAAACTGAACTAATCATTGCCAATTTTCTTTGCCCTAAAAGGCCCCCGCCTGGCCTAATATAACTGCCACATTTAATTTCCATCTGCCAAAAAGGTGGCAAGTGAAGACAGAATGATGAGAGCTGATTAGTAGGAAGTGTGCCAGCTTGACAGGGATGAATTAAAGTTTGGCTGGTCAGGAGTGCAAGGACAGAAACATCCTTGGCAACTTTCAGGCAGCCATGTCTCTGAATGCAGAGATTTTACTTTTCTAGAAGCTAATTTCTGTTTCTGTTTTAATTGCATTTTTGTTCAGTTCATTTCCATCCAACCTCTACCACAAACTACAAACAAAAGGCTGATTTTTTTTAATATGTTGGTGGATAGAAGGGCGGTGAGCGTGTCCAGAGACAACACACAAAGGCACTGAAGAGTTCAGATAATATTATTATTAATATTATAAATATTAACTTCATTTGTACAATCATGTTTATTGCAACAATCTTAAAACGTAAACTTCTATATAAAACATGCATTTCTTATTATCCCTGACTCTAATCAGGTCTCTCTTGTAAATGAGTCCCCGGGGCTCAATGGGATTAACCTGGGTAAATAAAGGTTGAATGAATGAATTATGCACACTTTAGTTTATGCTTCTTTTTTAGAGCAATACAATAAATATTTCCTAAATTTAAAAAAATAATAATAATTTGTTGAAATCACAGAAAATTTCATCTACACTAATTTACCGTATTTTCTGGCGGACACGTCGCACCTCCCAATAAGTCGCATCAGTCCATATTTGCCTAATAAAGTGGAAAAATACATAAATATGTTGCTTCGTCATATACGTTGCATCTATTATGCGTCACCGCTGACGCGTCGCGTTTGTTACGCGTCACCGTTGACAACCCGGAAATGTGGACCGGTGTTGTGCCAAAAACCGATGGGCCACCAAATGGCGGCCGCTGGAGCATGCATGGGAGGACTTTAACAAGAATTTAACAAGATTAACACATAAAAACAATTATTTGTTTGCTCAAAATTATATTAAAGTGTATATCAATCTAACAATTGCTTAATAAATGTACTTTAATGGTCAAATCAGCTGCAAAATGCAGCTGCAAAATACTTTGCTGCCTCGGTGCTCCATGAACGCGCAGAGGAAGAGAAAAAGGAGGAACGCGGCTCGTTTTTCCGAAAATTAACAATAACTGCACCTAAACAATTATTTTTTTGCTCGAAATTATAACAAAGGTGTGTGTCAGTCTAACATTTGCTTAATAAATGCTCTTTAATGGTCAAATCAGCTGCATTTCGCCGGGGCAATGCAGCTGGATTGACGGTTGGTCCAAACAGGAAGCAGAACCAAGGTGGGGGGGCTAAGGCAGGCTGATTGAGTCATTAAAAGCTGGTAAAGATTCTCAGTCATCTAGGACATGTTAAATTCAAAAAAGTTCAAGAAAAAAACAATAAAGTATAAAGTAAAGTATAATAAATAACGTCCAGTTGTTTTTGTCTTGAACATTTTTGACTTTGTCATCTGGTACTGCTCAATTTTTTAATTTTTTTATTTTTCAGTCAGAATGAATGAAAACAGTCATATCTCAGTCAAAAATTGGTTTCTAAATATGGGAAGAATCCATAAATATGTCGCTTCGGCCTGTAAGTTGCAGGGCATGTAAATTATGCAATAAAACCTGCGACTTATAGGCCGGAAAATACGGTACTTTCAATATTCAGTATTTTAACCTTGCATTCTTCATTCTGGAATACGTGACTGAAACTGTTCGGTCAGAGTAGCTGTGATCCTGGAAACAGATGGCTTAAAGAAGTTGTGCTCACAAAGTCAGACAAACAAGTTTTTCTCTGAGAATTCAGTCTGCCACTGCAGCTCTGAAGTTCATTCCATTCCTCTGGGTGGAATGATAAGAAGACCTCTATTAATGAACAGATGAAAGAACCCTAAATGTCATGTTCTTCTCATATATTCCACATGGTTTTCTATCATTAAAGAGCAGACTCGGGTTTTATCTTCCTATAGCTTGAACTTATCTCTCGCTCTGATGTTATTGTTGGGGTATGTTTTGTGAAAACTCCATCAGCTGAACATAGAAAATCAATAAAACTGTGGGTTTACACATCAACCCAGTGTAAACATGTCATTGTTTAGCATAGATACAACAGAGCTCCAATTATTTACACTCCTGCTCCTGGATTCTGCCTGAAACGCAGAGAGGGGAAAAAAAAAAAAAAAAACAGCTCCAAAAGAAAGATAATGGGAATTTGGAAACGTATTCATGCTTTGCAGTTTTGCCACAAAATATTCTCTCAGTTCTGCTTTTTCATCTCCACTTCTTTTTCTCAAACACGTGACTCTTATCTGTCTATGCTTATCAAGGTTTAAGAATGCAAAATTTAGATGTGTTTGTCTTTATTCTGTACATTTCTGATATCCTGATTTTGTGTGTGTGTAAATTGTGTATTAAAGTTGTCACCCTTTTATTCTTCTATCCAGGTAACTCGCCTTCAGAGGAGTCGGAGGAGCGTGACAAGGAGCCCAGAACGCTGACCTATCCAGCATACATCGCCAGTCTCCTGGACACAGGCGCTAAGCGCATGGCGGCCGGAGTCAGGATGGACTGCAGCAGCCAGGGTCAGTGCCCTCGCTCCTGCCACCTCTGCCACATGAGCCCGAGGGTGGCGCAAGGCCGGCAGCAATCTGAGCCTGTTCTCTTGAAGATCACCAAAGCTGCTCCCGTTTATGAACTGGTGTCCAACAACGAGACCTATCAGGTGAGGAAATTTGTTTTTTGTGCTTTTCCTGGATGTACAAATATGGAGACATTAAAGACCTAGCATTTATTGAAGGAATGCATGTCACAGCACAACTTTCATGACATAGTTTGCAAAGTAAACCAAGATATTTTTTATAAGAAGGGACAGAGTTATTGCTCAAATCTTGTAAATGACATTATTCATGATCCCCCATGTAATACTGAAATAAGTTGTGTGAAATGTTTGATTGTTTCTCCTTCCTGTCCTGGCAAAGCCCAGCCGGTTGAAGCAGATGGCCACTCATCCTGAGCCTGGTTCTGCTGGAGGTTTCTTCCTGTTAAAATGGAGTTTTTTCTTTCCACTGTTGCTTTTGTGTTTGTTCAAGATGGGAGACTGCAACGAAGTGAAGATTCAATACAATCAGCTGGTTTCCTTAGATAGAGAACTTTTACTAAATGTCTTTCGATGTATGTGAATGTTTTTGTACTGTGACCTGAGATGACTTATGCTGTGACTTGGAGCTACTACTATACTACTAATAAACTACTACTTCGGCTGCTACTACTACTAGTACTGCTGCTGATGCTACTACTACTACTACTACTACTGCTGCTGATGCTACTACTACTAGTACTGCTGCTGATGCTACTACTACTACTACTACTACTACTGCTGCTGATGCTACTACTACTACTACTACTACTACTGCTGATGCTACTACTACTACTACTACTAATACTAATACTACTATAGTAGTAGTATAGTATTATAGTATAGTACTATGCTACTACTATAAACTGAATTGAACTGACTGTAGCAATTTATTATTTATATGTATTGTTAATGAATCTCAGCTACTACCACCCCAAATTTAGCTACCTATTTGATAAACTGACTGAGAGCCATCGTTTACGTTGGCTATGGTCAAATAGATGTGAAAGCCATCTTGAATTTAGTCAACTTTAAATGTTGATTAGTTGTTGATATACATCCAGTGATTATTTTGAGAGTTTCAGTAATATCTGTTCATTGGTTTTGCAGATATTTTGCTAACAGACAGACTGAGTTAACTGTAGTAGTTTTTGACAAAGTTTCCACAACAGGTCTTGTGTGAGCTGTTAGTGCTCAGAGTATGTGTTGGGGATATGTCCCAGCTACTACCAAACCATTTTTTGGCTCACTGACTGTTTTGGGCAAACTGATTGGTGCTTGATAAGATTGCTTACCTGTGGCGGCCATCTTGATTGGAGTTGACTCTAAACATTATTAACTTTAAATACATCCAGTGATTGCATTCTGAGAGTTTTTTTATAAAGTCTGTCCAGTGGTTGATCAGATGTTTTGCCATTGTTACAGACAAACAAACCCACACATGCACACATTGATTCAAAGACACAGACATACAGTGGGTAAAACCATTATCACATTTGATGGTGCTCAGAAACAATCTGGGCCCATTGTCTACCATTTGGAAACCTGCGTTGAATTATTTATTTTTCATTGCATCCAATTTACCTATAGAATGTAAGACGAGCACATAGTTATTTTTCTTTTTTTTCTGGTTAGACTTTGCTTAGTCAAAGTATTTTTACTTTGAGGTGGAAAAAAAAAATCCCCACCGTTTTTTGCGTTAAGGCTGTAACGTTTTGCCTGAAGACAGCAGCTAAAATCCAGGCACGCATTCGGCTGTGTGATCATTAAACAGAACTGAGTCGATTAACTGGCACCCTGCTACGACGCACTCAGTATCTGCACGGCTGTATCTGTGTGAGATCCAAAACCCTGTGGCATCATCATCAAACAAGTCACGGACACATAAAATTTCACAAGGAAGTATTTTCCTCTCAGACTATCACAGCTTTCTCTGCTGCGAACGTGTCATGCCGTGATCTGCCGTACCGCGTGGAGACTTATTTGGCTTCATCAATATTGTACGTCGATAACCCCTCTACTCCTCCGGCAGGAAGAAAGGATCGATACGGTTCTGTTCGCGTTTCAGACCTTTCATCCGCATTCTCAGACAGTCAGAGCCAGCAGCTGGTATTGATAGAGGCTTTGGAAGTTGCTGGTCCTTGAGTATGCAGACGAAGCACAGAGGCGAAAATCTGAATATACAAAGTACTAGAATCTACCGGTACTCATTTTCTCATCCCTTAATCCATGCTGCAAACATTTCTGATTTCATTAACAGCTCACATTGCTTGTGCTGAAATGTGTCTGTAACTACTAGAATTAGAGTATTAAAGGTCCATTTTTAGACTGTGTTGCTAATTTTAATCAAGTTTGCCAAACTAATAACACTTGCATTATAGCTTTTAGAGTTTTGTTTATCTTGTTTTCATTTACCCTTTATTTATACAGGTAGTCTCATTGAGTCACGAGAACTCATTTTCAAGAGAGACCTGTTTAGGGAGAAAAAGGTGGGGGTTAAGGGCCTTGCTCAGGGGGCCCAGAATGGGGTGAATGAGGGTGGAGGCAGGTGTGGGTGTTTCACCTTTTCCACCCACATTTTGATGTTGATGGCACCGGGAGTTGAACCTGTGACTTTTCGATCACAGTCCCATCTTCTAACCTCTGCACCACCACTCCCCCAAAGTTTGAATACCTGAACCTTCACCCATTTTAAAGATATATTAAGAAGACTTTATGATACTTTAGTTACTGGCATTGCTAGATGGTGTCTTTATCAACTCATTTTTACAAAAATTCCAGTTACAGCAAAAAAAAAATTCATGTTTTTTGCGTGCACTCATTCTGACTCCGACAAAGTTAAGTCAAGTCCTCTGGATGGTTTATTTTTGTTGAAATGTTTTGTCTTTTATCCAAAAGACTTTATCAGTCCAAGGAGCTGCAACAAACTCAGTCCCGTAGGTAGCACAGTCACATAGTGGGCCAGCCGGTTTGATGGTGATAAGATGGTTTCTGGAGTCCGCCCTCTCCCCAGTCGACTTGCCTGAGGCAGCCATGGCCAAAGTGGTTCAAAACATCAAAGTTCATGTTCCTTAATCCAGGTTAAAAATCTGTTAAAGTTCAGTCAGGTCCTCTAGATGGTTTATTTTGGTTGAAACATTTTGACTTTCATCCAAATGACTTCATCAGTCCCTGGCTGCCTCAGACGAGTCGATGGGGGAGAGGGCAGATCCCAGAAACCATCTTATCACCATCAAACTGGCTGGCCCACTATGTGAGTGTGCTACTTATGGGACAGAGTTTGATGTGGCTCCTCGGACTGATGAAGTCTTTTGGATGAAAGATGAAACGTTTCAACAACAACAAAAACAACCAGAGGACCTGACTTATTTTTTACCTGGATTATTGAGCATGAACTTTGATCATTGTGACTCATCTTTTTCAGCGTTTGTCACATAAAAGCTTGTGATAAGATAGAATACTAACCAGTCAAAGCTTTTATAAAACCGAGTTCATAAATTAAAATGTTGAAATACATTCTAAAACAAATTTGACATAGATTATGTAAGTAAACTCAAACAGTAAGTACCCTGTCCATTTAATTGATTCTTAAAGATATAATTTTGTGGTTCAGGAGACATTTTGCTAACAGGCATACAGCTCTGACACCAACAGTTAATGCTGAACTTATTTAAGCAAAGATGCTATCACATACTCTAACATAAAATTTTGATCAATATGTGTAATATTGTCAGCATTAGAGTCATTTTTGTGTTTTCTTTTGTGAGTTGGCTGTGAAAATCATCTTGAACTGTATTAGCTCCATTGGTTAATCAGCAGTGGAGGTACATTCAATTACTGTAGTATGTTTTAAAAGTTCCAATAAAATTCTGTTCATTTGTTCATGAGATATTTTGCTAACTGCCAACTTTGACTCCAGATAGTTATTGGCAAGTTTTCAGCAGAGCTCTTGTGTGATATGCTAGCTTTCAGAATGGTATTATTTCTTTTAACCTTTATTTAACCAGACAAAGGAAGGCCAAAGAGGAGATATATGGATGCAGTTAGAGAGGACATGGAGGTAGTTGGAGTGAGGACAGAGGATGCAGAGGACAGAGTGAGATGGAGGATGACTCACAGTGGTGACCCCTGAAGAGGGAAAAGCTGAAAGAAGAAGATTTAACCAGTCAAATCCCATTGAGATCACAGTTCTAGTTTGCAAAGGAGGCCTGGACCTGGAGGCAGCCTAACATTCACGTTTTTGTACTGTGGGAGGAAACTGGAGTACTCTGAGAAAACCCAGGCAAGCACGGGAAGAACATGTGAACGCCACACAGACACCCCAGGTCCAAACCAGGGAATGAACCCAGAACCTTCATGCTGTGAGACAACAGCAGTAACCACTAAAGCATTGTGCTGCCCAAGAATATGTGTCTGGAATCTGTGTTAGCTACTACTGTACCAAAGTCTAGGTTGATATCTGTAAAAAATAAAATAAAATAAAAAAAAAATGACATGATCATTTTGTTTTTAAGTTCAGTTGGCAGCCATCTTTAATGAGGTTTACTCCAAAAGCTTTTAAGTTGTTGGTAAATATCCGATGAATGCTTCTGTGCAAGTTTCATTAGTGTTACAGTGGTTCAGGAAATACACAGACACACATACAAACATGCGCATGTACAAATACATACACACACACAGACCAGTGGGCAAACACATTCTCACTGTCTATGACAAATGATTACAAGATAGGAAAAGACTTCCGTGAAAGTGTAAATTATAAAAAAATTGCATTTGTCTAACAGCTCATTTCTGTCTGTCTGTGCAGGCTCTTCAAGAGGCCATGATGAGCATGCTGTGGTGCTCAGGCAAAGGTGACGTTATTGATGACTGGTGTCGATGCGACTCCAGTGCATTTGGCACGGATGGACTGCCCACCTGCGCTCCACTTCCCCAACCCATGTTAGTAAAAATAATATTACCTTCTCTTACTTGAGCCCACTCAGAAGGGATATGATAAATGTCATGTCTCATTTTATCAGCAGGAATCAATCTCCTGCTCCTTATGGGAGCTCTGGTAACGTGTCGTTTGCATCCATGAAAACTCAATATTTAATTGTGACCAGACATAACAGCGATCAATGATTTATTGTCTTCTGTCTGGTATGGGTGTGCTAATCAATTAAATGAGAGTTTGTATTTTGACTGGTTAGTATAAGAAAATAAAGACCTGTGCACACAAAGTTCTTTGTACCTCAGCTAGTAGCTGCAGATATCTGTTCCAGAATCAATCAGAACTCGGTTGATTTATGACATACAGTTTGTATATATTATACACATATATATATATATATATATATATATATATATATATATATATATGCATGTATGTATGTATGTATATACCATACCATATCATTTTACTTATAGAGCACTTAAAACAGCGACAAGGCCAACCAAAGTGCTGTACAGACAGAACAACAGGTAACACACAAAGCAAAATACAAAATGAAGTAAATCAGAATATAGACATAAAAACGATGCAGATAATGACGACTAACCAGTGTGGAGCATACAGGTTCAAAACACAAATCATCTGGTGTTGAAAGCTACTGAATAGTAGTGAGTTTTTAAACAGCACTTGAAAACCAAGAGGGAGAGGGCCTGTCTGACAAGCAGAGGTAACTCGTTCCAAAGTCTTGGTCCTGCTACATAGAAGGCCCTGTCCCCTCTGCGCTTAAGACGAGTTCCTGGAACTGTGAGGAGCAACTGGTCCGCTGACCTCAGGGAACGTGATGTGAACGTGCAGGATGTTGCTGTATTGGGTTGTAGTTTTGTAAATATTAAATTATTGTGTTTTTTATTGTGTTTTTTTGACATCTTCTGTTTGTTGTGCTGTTTTCAGGCTGAAGCTGTCCTACACCTATGAGCCCAGCAGCTCACTGGTCATCATGGAGTGGAACCACACAGAACCTCCAATAGGTGTGCGGATCGTTGATTACCTCATCAGCCAGGAGAAGGTGACAGAAAGGACCGACCATTCGAAACTCGAGACAGGTACGTCTGCTCAGAACTGTCTTGTTCAAGAGTTTGGTCATAGATAACTCCCCTCAGTTGTAAAATGCAGGCATATACTAACAGTTGCCAGGCAACCAGTGATAGTTTAACTGCTTTATATAACTAACAGTCATGCAGATGTTTAGTAATAGACATGTCTGTGAAAACATCTTTTTTTTTACCATTTTTAAAAATTGCTTTTTGGAATCATTACTTCCTCTTTGTGTTTCCAATTAATACTGAATTGCTAAAAGAGTTTCTTGATGCAATGCTAGGTATTGTTCAATAAATCAGTAGCTTTTGGTTTGTCTGAACAGCTGTTTTCCATTATTAACCCTTTAAAACACCAATTTGTTAACACAGTTTTGTCAGAGAAGCATGATTGTTAGTACATTTTTAGCTAAGTGGATAAAAACCTTGGTCCTAAGGTGAGAAGCCTGTATTTTTCACCAAATGTAAGTGTTCATTTTTACAGCCAAAGACGGTCTAGCATCATCTCCCCACGATGCTGCTGTCAATGTAAGAACATGAACCTTTGTTTAAAGTGTTAGAATTCTTTAAATTGCATTCAGCTATTAAATGAAGAAGAAAAAAAAGTACATAAAAATATTTGTCTTAATCCCCAATAAGTCCTTATTTTATTGACTCTTGCAAAGAACAACGGCACCTACTATATAAACCTCTGACTACAACATATAAAACATATCTGGGGTTTATTTTTTGTTGTTTTTGTTATTTTCAGCTGAATACTATGCAATCTTAAAGGCCACCACAAGATGGAGTACATCGATAACTATTAAAGCTCACGCTACATGACGTTCTTATAAAATAAATTTTAAAAGACAGATGCAGCCATGGTTTTTTTTATACCTAGTACTGTAATTGCTTTATTATGACATACAATTTGTTACCAAGAAACATTACTGGTAATTGCATTGTGATCAATCCATCTAAATCTGTGTCCTCAGTGATGTCATGCATTTGTCATTTGATTAAAGCCTAAACTCTCCTGCTCCAGGAAAACATACTTACCTGTTCATTAAAGGCAGTTTTGGATGTTCCTGTTTATTCTGTATGGATTTACCCATTAAGGTATGTTTTCCCTCATGTTTGCTTTAAAAACAGGAAGTGGTGTAACGAGCTGTGGGAGCAGCAGGAGGGGGTGTAACAACCCATGACAGAGAGCGCTGATTCTTGGCTGGCCCTAAATTAGTTGAAGCTGGCAAAACAGGGCCAGTTTATTCTGGCAGTAATGACCCAATCTATAATGCAGACTGTTACAGCTCCCTGTGAGGACCAAAGTTTGTTGTAGCCTAATGAGAGAATAAAATGTATTTGTCAGAAATGTGAGGGATCTTAATCAATACTTTGAGAATGGAGGGAACAGGCAAGTGTTTTCTCTATGGGTGGTAAACTGATGAGCATGAACATTAGGACTGATAGTGCACCTTTATGTTGAGAGGTCCTAATCTAAAGTAAAACATAAAAACAAGCCTTTGACCTCATTTACTTTTTCTTGCATTTGCATTTTATTATAAAAAGGTTGCATATACTGCAGTGTTTTTAATAGATGACTGTGTTGAAGTAAGGCATAACCAAAGTACAGTTCATGTATCTTTAAAACTAGCCCCGTGCTTCAATTTATTTAATTAATTGATTATTATACGGATGAAATATGCTTTTTTTTAACCTGGTTGGCATAAAGAAATGTTTTTCATGAGTATAAACTATAAACATGCTGTAAATAGTTAAATATGAGTTTAATAAAGAGTGGCAGATGTGTGTTGGAATGCAAAAACTCTTCTTGAAAAATATCTTATTGAATTTGTTGGGATTTTCTATGAACATAAACCCTTTTTTAAGCTACTCAGTTACACAAATGTAGCAAATGAGCCTGCAACAATGTGTTTTCACAACAAAGACGGTGACAGTAGCATCACTGGTGAGAGTGGAGTGCTGATTGTATAGCCTGCCACTTCATACCTACTTGCCAACTCAACTCTGTGACTACAACCCTTGACAATTCAAATGTGTGATAATGGCAGTGTGGTGTTGAAAGAGCTGCTGATGTTGTCTATACTGCTATCCTCATGTTGCAGTTCTGTGTTAAAACATGAAACCACTGTGAAAATGTGTGGCTAAATCACATGAAGTGATGCTACCTGATCTGTATGACTTTTTTCTGAATACATCATTTTGTTTAGTTGGTAGTAATTTTTGGAGCTGTTGCTGCATATAAAGAAAGTTGCAGGTTCAAACCCAGCTTCACCTTTTATGTGTGGAGCTTGCATGTGCATGTGTAGGTTTGCACTGGGAGCTATGGTTTCCTCCCACAGACCAAACAAAGAATGAAAGGTTGTTTGTCTCTATGTGGACCTCTGATTGACTCACAATCTGTCCAGGGTGCAATCCTCACAATGACAGTGAAGATAGGCACCAGCTTCCTGTAACAATACCCCAATGGGTTTTGGAGACTCCAATTTGACCCCAATGGGTATCTTGGTCGATTTGCATTTCTCTTTTAAGCTTAACATGGAAAACCTAGTAAGGAAACTGAAATTTAAATTGGGTTTCTTTTTCAGAACCAGATCTTGTCTAACCCTGAACGCTAGGAAACGCCTTGTAACTGTGACTTTCCTTCCCTCCATTGATTACAGTGGCAATATTTACATGAACGCTCCTACAAGAACCCTGCAGATGTTGGATGCTGCCTATCATGGTGCACTAAGATTCATAGCTGGCTGTAACTATTGTACCCACCAGTGCACCCTGTATTCACAGGTTAACTGGACATCATTAACTTCACACAGACTCTCTCACTGGTACATTTTCATCTTTAAATCACTTCTTGGTCTGCTGCCTTCATACATCTCCTCCTACATGTCTCTGCGTGAGTGCAGTTACAGCGTGCACTCTCAGGACATTATTACCTGCAGTGTTCCCTCAGTGCGGACTGAACTTGGCAAAAAGACCTTCTCCTACTCCGCTCCTGTTTCCTGAAATATCTTGCCAAAAGATCTGAATCTCTTGACCTCTCTGAATGGCTTCAAACATCTGCTAAGTTCCTGGCAAGAACCAATGCAGACATGTTCCTGTTTTTAGTTTTCTACACCACCTTACACCCTAGCTGGGTTTTTTTTTTTTTTTTTTGCTACTTTTCTTTTTAATTATCCTTTTAATTACCATTTTATTTTCACTTGTTTAAAAAAAAATGTATGCATCCTTTATGATTGTCTGTTGATTTTGTTGTTGTCATGACTCTGTTAAAATCAGGTCTCTCTTGTAAATGAGTCCCCAATGCTCAATGGGATTAACCTGTCTAAAAAAGGTTGAATAAATGAATGAAAAAAATAATGTAATAAGACAAGACATAAATATCAGGTTTCACACAAGTATGCATGGATGGTGTTATTTTTAACAGGCAAAGTTACATCTAGGAAACAAGAGCTAAACATTGATATAAAGGCCCAAATATGCAACATATTTGCATCCAAACCACCTGGCCAGCTGAAACTTCTGTTCAATTATATTTTCTCCCGAGACTCTGCTTTGAGGCACGGTGGTGCAGTTCATAGAACTGTTGCCTCTCAGCGAGAAGGTCACCAGATTGAATCCCAGCCCGGGACCTTCCTAGGTGGAGTTTGCATGTTCTCTCTGTTTATGTGTGGGTTTTCTCTGGGTACTCCGGTTTCCTCCAACACATCAAAAACATGCATGTTAGATTAATTGATAACTCTAAATTGTTTCTAGGTGTGAGTGAGAAAGTGTCCCTGTGGAGACCTGTCCAGGGTGTCCCCCACCTCTTGCATAGTGACTGCTGGACATGGGCACCAATGACCCCTTGAAATCCATAAAGGAAGAAGCGGGTAAAGATAATGGATGGATGGACTTTGCTTTGCAATTGCACATTCTTTTTGTTACTTTCTAAAGTGATCTGTCCTAACCCACAGTTACATTTGTACCTTTCAGTGTGGCTTAAAGTATTTTAAATGCAGCAAAACAAAAAGGGAGAATACATTTCTTGCAGTAGTACAGCTGAACAACCAGAGAAAAGTTGTTGTTTTTTACACATACTGGACTATTGTACACAATAGCTGCTGCTCAGCAGGTTAAAACACGTCACAAACATTTGCGGAAAACGGTCGGTTACCACAAATTATTATATAAAATAATAAATCATCAGATACAAAACATGTTTCTTATCTGATTTTGAACTATATCACACAAACTATAGCTTGAAGGGAATTAGGTACTATATTTTCCAGCATATAAATCGCAGTTTTTGCAGAGATTTGTCTGTCCTGCAACTTATACGCCGAAGCGACTTATATACTTTTTTTTCCATATTCATAACAATTTTTGACTGATACATTAAATTTTGAAGAACTGCAACAGCAAGTCCTCCCGTGCCCATTCACTTCCCTCTGGTGCAGGCTGAAGAACGCTGGAGCGCTCATGGCTCCAACCACAATGGATGGATGGATGGATGGATGGATG